CTCTTCAGTTTTTAAATGTTATTTTCTTGTCACTAGTCGCTTCATACTCAATATGAGCTGCACGATTCTGTATGAAATTCCTTTAATTTCTTTAGAAGCATTAACTGCCGAACAAGAATCGACTGTGCAAGCAATCGTCGCAATGGGCTATCCGAGAGAAAGAGTAAATATAGTTTAAATTGTTTATTTCCTCTTTCTCTTTCTACATCCTTCTTTTTTAATTCCTTATGTTCCTAGCTTTTTCGCTTTGCACGGAGTTAATTTTTTTTTTTCATTTATTTAAGGTGATCCAGGCGTTGCGTGCTTCATTTTTCAGTGGAGACCGAGCCGTCGAATATTTGTGTTCTGGAATACCTGAAGAAGAGGAAGTGGGAGCTGGCGGTAATTTTTTAGAAAGAGTTCAATTGTTGGCAAATTATAACTTGGTGTTTTCTTTGGATATCGAAAAATTGTAATAAGATTGTTATGGTGTTCACCATTTAATTTTGGGCAGGTTATTTTTAAAAATTTTTTTGCAATTTCTACTACTTTAGTTTCATCTTCTACTTTTGCTTAGGTCGTCAAGAAGAAGGCGATGAGGAGCCGTCTGGACAGGAGGGTTCGCAGCGTTTAGAGTTTCTTCGTAGTTTACCGCAATTTGAGCAGCTCCGTGAGTTAGTGCGATCAAATCCTGCGGTTTTGCCGCAGATAATCCAGCAGATTGCTAATTCTAACCCTGGATTAATGGAGGCTATCCAGAACAACCAGGTATTTTAAAGGATGTTATATTTTTTAAAATGTGCTAAGGAACTTTCTTCAAGAGGTTTTTTGCAGGAAGAGTTTCTGAATTTAATTAACGCCACTGATTCTGAGCCTTTTGGGATTGGAGGTGTTGCTGGGGCAGGTCATCGTGGTGACCGACAGAGGGGAGTCCCTATCGAAGTTACACAGTCGGAACGAGAAGCTATTGAACGCGTAATTTCGTTTTTTCAATTTCAACATCTGTATAATGATTTAATGACTTGAATAACAATTCGAAATTTTTTATCAAGTTATCAAGTGTAGCTTATTCTTCGTTAAGGTCTCCGTGTGGTGGGATTCCTATTTTTTTGTACTGTGCTTTTAAGAATATACCAATTGAAAATGTCGTTGTTGTCATTGCTCAGGCCCTTTTTAGTGTATATTTTTGCAGTTAAAAGCGATGGGTTTTCCGGAATACCTTGTTATTGAAGGCTATTTTGCGTGTGACAAGAATGAGAACCTTGCCGTAAATTATATCTTGGCCCGACTTGACGAAGCAGCGGTAAGACTTTATTCAAGGTGCTTGTGAAATAAAATTGAAAGTGTACATCAAAGTTTCTTGTTCCACTCGTGATTTGTATTTCGTCATTTCTTTTTGAGTATAGTTTGAAATTATAACTCCTCCCGCTAAATGGAATATGCACTATTTGTTTAATTAAGCATTGAGTCTTCGTCTGAGTAGTTTCTTTTCAGGAAGAAATCGCGGGATCTGATCCTTCTGGTAATGCGGGTGCCCAATAAATTTTTGATTTTATTTATTAGCCTACTATGTTCAGTTGTTTTCGTTTGAGGTTACTGCAGGATTTTTTCATTATCAGATTTGCTTTATCGCTTTCTGCACTGTAGTGAATTTATCTCAATCCAACAAAAACTTACGGGCGAGCTTTCATTCACGCAGTTCGGAGAATTGGGTCTTAGTTTTTTATTTTATTTTTTTCTAATTTGTTTCTTATATTCGATTTCGAAGTCTACTGAAGTCGGAATTCACTAGATTTTCATGTTTTTTTGAAAGTTATGCTGTTAAGATCACTGTTAAATGATTCTTTATATAGATATATGTTTCCAACTTTAAAACAGTCAGATACTTTAAAGTGGAAATTGTTTGAAGGGTTTTAATGGCATAGTCGGCTTCTATATTCGTAGCTGCTGGCTTAAATGAATTTTTTCACTTTGTTCTCTCAAAATGTTATCACGTTTTCCAAGTCTTTTATTTACTTTTCGTAATTGCGTATTTGTTCCGGACTAATAAAAAAGTATATGTTCATGGAGACTTCTTGAACAGATTGTCAGATATAAGAGGATATACTCGATTGCTGCTAATCGCTCGTCTTTTCGTATGTGGTCTTTTCAGAGTCATAGTTCATTCTGATGAAGAAAACGACTGCGACATTTGTTGTCTGTTTCATTACATTTGCTGCCATATCAACAAATTTGCTTGTTTTATGTTAGATTTAGTTTGGTTGTTTTGAATGATGGTGCCCTGTTTATACGGGGGGAGTTTTATTTTAGGTAATGACTGCATTTATCTCCTAAATTTGTCTCCTCGCAAAGCAGTTGTTTATGAGCCATAATTATGTTGGATTTATGAGTTTGTTTGGAAGCTGCTGTCTTTGACCAGCTAAAAAAGTAGGATTTCTCACAGCATGCGCCTTGGGTTAAACAGTATCTTCGTTTTTTGATTGTTTGAACTTATATTTAGTTTTTGTTTTGGATATTAGCAGTAATAACTGCACATCCGCATATAACTTATTTCTATGGTGTCCAAAAGTTCTGTACTGTTGTTGTATGACTTGGCAGAGTGTTAGCTTGCCGAGCTGTTGTGTTCAGATCACATAATAATGCTGATTGTCCTTTGTTTGGGAGTCACTTCTCATTTTCAAATAATAAGGGATCTCTTCAGTCTTGGAGATTTCCATTTTATTACTTGTTGTGCAACCAACAGCCGTGATTATTTTAAAACCATCTTGTAAAGCTGCGCGCTGGACAGGGACAGTACGCAGCATCATTCTTTAGCTCACCAGTTTTGCCAGGAGGTCCCTGCCGACCCGCAGGTCCTGGGTGACCGGTGGACCCTTGCGGTCCTTGCCTTAGGGCCTTAGCGGATCTTGATTTCCATCAGTGCCGGGCTTTCTAGGACCATCATCTGAGCTTTTTGGTCCGATGGGACCTTTTGAGCCAACCTTGTTTGGAACACCTTTGAACCCGTCACGTCCTGGAGCATCTGGTTTACCGTCAGGGCCACATGCACCAGGAGGTCCTTGATTTCCGATCAGACCAGCCTGTCCAGTAACTGCATCTCTTTTTGGTCTTCCTTGAGGTCCGTTGGAGCCGTCAGGTCAATGAGGTCCTAGTTCCCCAGGTGGCCCGCGATGTCTTGGAAATCCTGCTGGACATTTAATGCATTTGTTTTTGAATTGAGGGCAGTCCATAGCTGGTTTCCCTGGTCTCCCATCAATACCTGGGAAGCCACGCCGCCTTGGATTTGAAAGAAAACTAGTTTTGAGCTGGAAATGTTTTGAAACTTTTCAGAGCA